GTGCGTCGAGCATCCAGCTCAGACAGAAACGCAACTTGGAGGACAAGTTCAGAGTCCCGTGCGTCGAGCATCCAGCTCAGACAGAAACGCAACTTGGAGGACAAGTTCAGAGTCCCGTGCGTCGAGCATCCAGCTCAAACAGAAATGCACCTGGGAGGCAACATCCAGCAGGAGTCTAACAGAGGTTCAGGCGAGCAGACCAGACAGGACCAGTGGGTGAGAGGGAACGAAATCAGGAAAACAGAATCACTCAGGGAAATGCTGAAACGCTCTCACCACTGGTTAGGGATTAAACTAGCCTGAAGACATGGGCTCAAAAATAAACTCCTCACTTAAACATGAACCTTGGAAATAAACCTATAATTAACAAAACTGACAGACAAAACACTAACAAAAACCAAACAGGGAACAAACAGAAAGCAAACAATGATCTGCCCAAGACAGCCCAACAAAAGGGAAACGGCAGGTGGATGAGACGAGCGATAACCAGGAGCTGGAAAGAGTTAAGCAGGTGAAAGGCATGAGTAATTAAGGCCAGCTATCACAGCAGATCATGACAGCAGTATGTTTTTTTTTGGTGTATCATATTCTTATTACATGTTTAAGTTACCACAGGCAGCAAAACAGCACGACCACAAAAAAATAACATAAACAACAACCTGTTCATACATACACATATAGAAATAATCCCATTAAAATTGAAATTGAAGTAACACAAACATATCTATAAAGTAAAAACAAAAACAAAAAAATTGAAGTTCCAAAAACATTAGCAGGCCAGTTTTCCTCCTCGTCCCTTTTGTTTAAATAGTTGTCATTCTTTTACCTTTAACCTAAGAAAAGGATCGAAATCTTTAAAAAATTGATTGTCATACATTTGGACCTGTAGACAGGCTTTTAGCTATGCGTACGGGCGTACATAGTAAGCCCTTTTACCAAAAAGTAATAGAAATTGTACGCCCAGTGTTTGGGAGGTACGGCTTTGGTACACCCTAATTTTCCCTCAGAAACTTTTTCAAAATTTCACAAGCAGCAGATACTGGAGTTGGAAAAATGTTAATTTTGTTGCTCAACGCGCCACAGCAATATGGCCAGACTTTTCCTTTAATTGAATTAAAGGCATAAAATGAATATGACACCTTTACCCATGATGACTTTGCAGTTCATGAATTACACCTACTGCTGCCAGTAAGATTTAAAGACATGTATATGACCGAGCATTAGATTTATAGTGGTGCATACTTATAAACACTGGCAAATATCTTCCTCTTTTCTTTATTAACTTTGACCAAATAAATTATAATGCGGTCTCTGCTAAAAAGCAGCCACTGCTTTGATTAAATCTGTTTAATATATATCATAACCAGATTGGCCTTTTTCATGCAGGCACGAATCTCGGCTTCCTGTTCAAAACAATCACCATCACTTATCGGGCCAGAGGAAGTCGAATGTCCTTTCAGCCGCAGCTTCTGCAGCACACTGTTACTGCAGCTTGATGTTGTTTGAACAGGAAGTGCCATTAAGTAGTGCAGTAAAATACACAAAGATAAAAGCCTTTTATCAGACCCAGTGGGAAAACCTTCCTGCTGGGAGCAATGTGAAGTTGGCAGAGGAGAAAATGTGCTTAAGCACATGGAATCAGGCTTAAAGTCTCGGCGACAGGCATACATGTTATTTTTTATCACTTGTCGAGGAGGGCTGGGCTTATTTTGTTGTGGTTTCACAGGCATGATCTCATTTCATTATCTTGACAAGAGCAGGTAGAGTTACATCCTAAATGAAGCCACCTGTGGCCTTCTGTTCTCAGAATCGCCCCGTGGTGCTTTTGATAAAAGCTGACCTTCAGCCTTTTGTCTTAACCTTGTGTCAATATTAGCTCGTGAATTAAAAAAAAATAATGCTGCAGCCCCAGTGTCAAGTTGGTTCACATTTAGTCTCAATTTATGCTTCGCTTTCCGGCTGTACTTTTTCTCTGCAAGTTAGTATAGCAAGCCAAAAGTTACACATTTATATTTTTTTTTTCTCTGAATTAGCTGCCAG